AAAAAAAAAACAGGGATTTATTTTAAGAAAACAAATTAAGATGTATAATGTTAATAACAGGGTAAATTATGATGAATTTTGATTAAGTAGAATTTTTAAGTTTCTAATTCACTTATTGGAATAATACATTTGCTGGTTATCTTTCAAAGTGTCTCTTTTGATGAGGTTTGCCTGTTAGAGACATTTAGGTTGATAGTTTTGGAGTGTACCTAAAAAAAGGCAATAATGAAGTGAATTTCTTGGGGATATTCATCAAGTTTACTATTGTTTTTGGCAAACAAAACCAATTTTAATAAAAATAAATTATGACATAATGCCAAAATATTTAGAAAAGAAGATAAAATACATTGAATGTGAAATTGGTTTTGATTTTATCTTTAATACAAACCAGTAATTTATTTTAAAAAGGAACTTTATTTTGGTGTATATTCAGACATTATAAGAACTGAGGAAAAGAAAACTTATTAATTGAAAGATATAAAACAAACATGGGGAACGACATGAGTATGATTGAGCCTTATTATGATGAAACAAAAGAGGATTATAATCTTGGATATCCAAAATATGGAGATTGTATTAGATGGAAAGGAGTTCTTAAAGTAGAATATGATAAAAAGAAAGATAAAGATGCTGTTGTGATTGTTACTAATCAAAGAATATATTTCTTTAAACCAAAGAAATATAACGTTCCTAAATATCATAGTCATCTTTTTGATATTAAATCAATTGAAATTCCTTCTAACTCAAGGATTATTCTAAGATTTCAAGTTGGTAAAAAAGTAAAACATGCAGAATTTTATGAACAAGCAGCTATTGAAATGGTACGAGCAATTAGAACATCAATACGTGATACTACCAATAATTATGGAGAAGATAAAATTATTTCAATAACAGATTTTGGAAATATTACAAAACCAACTAAAGATTTTAATCTTACACCATCTGCAGCAATGGTTGAGTCATATTTAAGTATTTGTAGTAGAGAGAATGAAGAACCTAGTATTAATCATGTTTATTTTCTCAAACGAATGGAACATAAAAATTCATATTGTTTTGATTTTAGTGAAATTCCAGGGGTTTGTAATTCTAAATCACCTATTGCTTTTAATTTGTCCAATGCATTTACTGCATTAAGTTATAATACTTCATTTACACAAATTAAATTACATGATGTTTCAGCACCAGGATTAGATAAAGCAATTGCATTATTATTACAAAGAAATGAATATATTCAAGTACTTGAAGTTGTTAATTGTACTACTAAACTTGATGCAAAAGAATTTTGTGAAGAATTAGCAAATTCTCCTGTTGAAATTATTAGTTTTCATGGAACACCAATTATGAAAGGAGAGTCATTAGGAGTTATGATGAGTAAAAGAGAGTATAAAGTAATTAAATTAGATGTTAATGGATGTGGAATTAATAAATTAGGAGATATGATGAGAGGTATGATGTTAAATGAAAATATAATTAAAAATATAAAAGCATTAGACATTTCTAATAATGGAAAGAGTGAAGATTGTATATTAGAATTACCATTATTCATAGAAAAATTAAGTGCTATTCAATCTCAAATAGAATATCTTAATATTTCTAATTTAGATGTTAATCTTGAAGAAGTTATGAATAAAATGAAAGGACTTAATCTTAAATATTTGAATATTACTGGAAATAAATGGAATAAACTTGACCAAGCAATGGAATTAATTAATTTCTTTCAAACAAATACTACATTAAAACAAATTTGTATGAGTGAAATGAAATTTCAAATTGATCATATTGTTCCTGTTTTATCACCAATTGCAAATAATGTCAATTTAACATCAATTAGTTTAGACTTAAAAAATAATGGGTTTGGAGTTGATGGAGGAATTGAATTATATAAAATATTACCAAGTTTTAAAAATGTAAAAAAATTAGATTTAAGTGGTAATAAATTAAAAGGAAAAGCAATGAATAGAATTTTAACATTTATGGAAACATTTAATGAATTAGATACATTATATATTGGAAATAATCCAATGAGTGGAAAAGAATTAGAGGAATTTATTAAAAATTTAATTACATTTATTCGAGGACATAATAATGTTAAAATATTAAGAATTAATGAAATTGCAGAAAAAGAAAATACTTGTATGGATAACTTTTTATTTGAAATAGTTCATAATGAAAGTTTATTAGCAATTGACATTAGTGGAAATCATTTAAATGATTTAAGTACAATTCCAATGGGAGAAATCTTTATGAATAATAAAACATTAGTTGCATTAGACTTTGATAGAAATGACTTTACAACAGAAGGATTTCTATCATTAAGTTATTCTATTGAAAATAACTCAACACTTTCATTTGTTGATTATCCTTCAAAGATGTACAAAAAGATTTCAAAACAAACTATGTCTGTTGACTTATTACAACGATTTGAAGAATGTTTTTATAATTTCTTCAATAAAATTAAAACTAATAAAACTAACAACTGTTTTGGTGATATTCATATTTTTGATATTATTAATTCATATCCATTAAAAATAACACCATGTGAACTTTTAGATAAGAATGTTCAACCAAAATTAATTGGAAAATACATTGAACCAACTCAAACTGATTGTCCAGAAATGCCAGAACAACTCAAGTCTTTCTCAGATTTGAAGAAAGATCCTAACTACTATTATAATTAAGTTAATTGTTAATAATTTAGTTGTATTTGAAGGCAATTAAAAATTGCTTATGTTAATAGAATTTCTGATGCAATAAAAAAGAAAAACTAAAAAACTTGTAGTATTGATGAAACGGGTTTTAATAACTGGTGCAACAAGTGGAATAGGTAAACAAACAGCAATATTATTATGTACAAAAGGATATGAGGTAATAATTCATGGTCATAATAAAAGTAAAATTGAGTTATGTATCAATGAAATTAAGAACAAAATTCCTCAAGCACATTTAGAAAGTATTTATTGTGAATTTGATGAATATAAAAGTATAACAAATATTGTCCAAAAGGAATTAACAGGACAACAAATTGATGTTTTAGTTAATAATGCAAGTCATATTAATAAACAACGAAGAGAAATTGATGGAATTGAAGCAACATTTGTAGAAAATGTCATTTCTCCATTTGTATTTACATGTGCAGTATTACCATATCTAAAACCATCTGGAAAGATAATATTTGTTACTTCAAATTGTCATTCAAATTATTTAAACTTAGATTTAATAAATTCAATGGATCATGATTATTTTGAAATTTACGAAAATACAAAAACATGTGAAATTGCACTTTCAATTTATTTTTCAGAAAATACTCCATTTACTTGTTTTTCTATACATCCAGGTGTTTATAACTCAAGTCTTCATGACAGTTATTGGGGAGATTGTGGGATTGATTCAAGTGAATGTAGTTGTTTATTTAATATGATTGAAAGTGATGAAGTTGAGTCTGGTAAATATTATGATCAATGCCAAATTTCAATTGCTGCAAATCAAGTGTATGACAAAAGGTTTAGGAAAGATCTTTTATTATTATTAAAAGAAAAAACTTCTATTGACATACATACATTACTTCAATCTTTTTCTAATGCTAAATAACTTATTTTATTTTTCATTTCATTAAAACCAAAAAATTGAATATGAATGAATAAATTAACTTGATCAAATAAGTCCAAGAACTAAGTTGATAAACTTATCAAATTCTACTGGATCTAATTGATCTCTATGAGTGTCAAAAGTCAATTGGTAAATTGTTCGACATTGTGCAAGATAAGAAGTGGCACAAATAAATTGAACTTGGTTTAATTTCTTTTTCCCTATTAAATTTTTGTTTGCTCTAATTAATGCATCACAACTTTGTTTATTTAAATTGAATCCTAATTGAGGAAGTGCTACTTGAAGTTCTGTAATATCTAATGAACCACTTTGATCAACATCAAAATGTTTAAATGTTGCAATACATAATTTTACCCAATTGTAAAGAGCAATAAATTCATAGAATCCAATAGAACCATTATTGTCAGCATCAAATATTAACATTAATCTTTTGATAGTATCATTATTCATTTTCATATCTTTAGGCCATTTAGCTTTTAATAATTCATCTAATTCTAACGTTCCAGATTTATCTTTATCTATTTTTTTAAACCAATCTTGAAGTTCTCTAAAATCATTTGCACTAAGGTTTTGAACTAATGGATACCACCATTGGAATTGAATCGTTGGATCTTGTGCATAGGCAGCTTGTATATGTTGTAAGACCCAAGCATCTGCTGCTGCTTGAATTGAGAAAAATGTTAATTGTTGACTAGTTGGTTGTTGTTGGTTTAATTTTTCTTGTTCTTCTCTTTGT